TTACTTTTGGTAATGTCCCAGCAGGTTTTTTTGTTTTTTTTTGCTACATATGCCAATGGGATGGCTGACAGCTCAACTTTTTAAACTGGTAGGATACACCAGTGGTCTATCCTATTGATCTGTCTCCCTATTCTGAACAGCAGGGCATGTCTTCTTTTACCTGTTGTCTTCCAGTTGCCTTAGATTGCAACTCATAGGATTCTCAGGCAGAAAGCTATTTGGATGTGTTTGCTGGGAAATTTGGAACTGGTAGTAATATGATGTCTTTAAGATTCAGAAAGGTTGCGTTTGACTTTGGTGGATTTTACCCAAGGTTTTCATACAACTCTGCTGCCCTCTGTTGAGCACATCACAAGTTTTAGAAGCAAGGGTGCTTCCATGAGACCAACACCGGTTTCTGAACTTTGCATGACAAAGTTTGAGAAATGCACACTAAAATGCAACAATAAGGATAGGGTCCTCACAAATCTTATTGTAATCCCCAGCTTAGACTTCTAAGTAATATCAACCTTACATAATTGGTTTTCTACCTGTGGCGGCACACAGGCTTTATAAACCCCCAGCAGTGTTGTATTATTTAAATTACTGTTTAAATCACAGAATGTTATTTTTGAAATAATCTTTGTAATGTAGTTTACCAAAGGTTTAAATTTAATCATTACAATCCATCAGTGGGTCAACAATAGAAAGGGTTTATAATTCGTTTTGATTAAAACAAAGTTATTGTCTGTGTTTCAACTAATGCAGCTGAAATGAACAAAACTCTAACTTCTGCAGAGTATAAGTAGATCTATTGGTCATCTGACTAATTATTACTTGATTTTGACCATTTATTTAGTTCAGCTTCCCTAGAAATATGGCTGTTTATCTCTGCCAGTACGGCAGATAGCACTATAGCCACAATATCTGAGGTGTTTATAGAAATGATTTTATGAGTGACATTCAGTAATTTTATCCATTTTATTTTACAACCTAGTATAGTTCTGTGGTTTTATTTCAGTTAAATTTTAATTGTGAAAAATGACTTGTTTATTCTTGACCCTAATCCCAATGAAATACCTTATTCACTGAGAAGGCACATAAATACATGAATCGTTTTAGTGGCTAGTTGTACTGCAAATACTGAGAACCAGAAGATTAGAGGAAAGGATACCAAAATTTTCAGGCCTATCCTGAAAGATAAATAGGTTTTTTAAAGTTGCTGAAATCCTTGTCCCTTTCAACAAATCTAGTTAATAAAACTTTGTATGACTTGTGCCTAGAAAAACAGTTACTTTCAATTTAAATCAACTGACCAACAGCCAAGTATTACTTACTCCTATCTTTATATTTAAGGAAACATATATTTAAAATCATGCACAAAAATTCTAGGTGAAAAATCACGAGCTGATTCTGGGAAAGATGACAAAACAGACTTTAGATTCGAAAAAGAGAAATGCATTTGAACTTGGCTACATTCACCCATCTCTATCACTACAGACTACGTGAGTTCTGAAAACAACACTGGGATCGAAATTTTGTATTATTTACATCAGACTGAAATGCTGAATGAATTCTAGTCGCATCAAATCGTAAAGTAATGGATACTTGAGGAAGTCAAAAGTGGTAATGCATTTTGACTGAGACACTGCAAAAAAAAAAAAAGATTTTTATCTAATTAAAAAAAGTATCTTTGGGGATTTTCAGCCCCTAAATTAAATTTTCTGTGTTATGCAAAATAGCACTTCCACCTTTTGTTCCAAAGGCAAAAACTGTAATTTATGGAAAGAGGAAAACTCTTTGAGACCTAGATACATTTATTTTTGTCTCATCTGAACGGTGAAAGGGAGGCAGTGCAGTCTAGTGGCTAACACGCTTTCTATTCCTGAAAGACCTCATATGGCCCTTGTTAGCCAGTCCTATTTTAATACAGTAAACTAACATTTGTTATGTAATTTTAGATAAGATCCCTTTATAAAAATCTGAAGACCTGGCTGAATCCATAAATACTCTCTCTGGAATTAAAAAAAAGTTAGAAACAATTGGATTTTCTGCATGCACGTTTTCTGAGTACTGCTTGAATATATGAAAGCTAACTAAATTCCCCCAAGTTAGGGGAATCCGTGTTAATGAAAGACATGGGAACATCCACCACTGATAACGTAAAGCCCGCAGAAGGGCACAGGTGACATAAGAGCACCACCCAGAAGAGACTTTCTTAGCTTCTAAAGCATACAGGAAGTATTCTTCTCAGCCTCTCCTTGGGCAAGTATTTCAGATATATCTAACTATCCAAAGGTTGAAGAAGTTTGCAACATGGGATCTGCCTTCCTCCCTGTGACGTCCTATCATCCCTGGAGCCACGCACAACCTTAAAATTTGCCATTTAATTGAACAACAGGACGACTGGAAGCAAGCTACGAAACGGGAGTGTCAACAAGAAGTCCACGTGACTGTGACCAAACAACCTTCAAGCTTTAAATGGGTAAGGAAAGTAGGATTTCAAAAGGCCCAGATCAATCGCCCAGTTCTAAGTATGACGTTCTTGACATCAACCCACTTGGAGTTCTTGACATCAACCCACTTCGTTTAACGGACGCTGCACAACCCACACTACCTTCACATACCAACTCAGAAGCAAAGCCCACTGAAGTCCACTTCTGCACAGGACGGCCACTTTTCTGTCTCCCCATCTTTAGAGAGAGACCTATAAAAAATCCCTTCAAAGCAACTATATAATTAAACTTTGCCTTGAAATCTCCCCTGGCAGGAATCGATAGTGTGAATTCCCACTTGTCAAAATATAAGTTTATGCCCTGCTCACTGTAGCAAGGTATTTCAGCCCCCACCCCGCCCCAAATCTATTCCTCTAATCATGGTCCATAAGGAACCACTCATCTGCTTCTGTGGTCACAAGGACCCTATTAACCACCACATGCTAGGAAACCAGTTGAAGCTATGGGATGCTGAGCAAGCTACTGGCGAGGAGGAAGGGGTCTCCTGTGTGAATATTTAAACATAGGGGTTGGGGAAGGAGCCCATTAGAAGAAAACGGAGCTTTCTTATTAATACATTCTGGCAAATGCCACACTCTCACATCTGTTACAGCCAATATGAGCCTCCTGGCATGGAGATGTAGCGAGCAGAAGACAATGCTTGACACCTTCCACTGGGATCTGGTGCAGCTAAAGCTGGCACTAGCCAACTGTTCCAACTAGCCAGTGAAAGACCCCCCACAACCTTCCATCGCCTTCTGTTAGAACTTGGTCCATGGGGAGAATTGCCCCCTTTGGTTTTGCTTGTTTGGGGCCACCCGTTGAGTCAGCTCCTGAATCTAGAGCTCTCTGAAGAGCAATTTTCTCAAAGTTTGCTGTCACTCAGCTCTCTTTGCAGGTAAATTCTCAGAAGAGAGAGAGAGAAAGAAAGAGAGAATGGAGATGAATGAATGGGCTATGCACCTTTATGTTGACCACCTCTCTTTCTTCTAGGCTGTTAAGAACTTCAAGCACCCCCATTCCAAAAATAGTCACTTTCTATTCCTTTCATCTTTTTAAGTCAACACATTCTACGGAAGATAAAGAGGAATGAGAAAAGGGGAGGGGGGGCTGAGCATTTACAGAGTGTAATAAAGCATCTCTTCCTAGTTCTGCTGGACAGAAAGCAAGCCTTCCAGCACTGGATAAGGCTGAGATTTAGTACCGTTGACTCTTTCCTCGCTAGCTCTTTGAAGCAACATTACAACTTCCCAGCCAGTCCCCACTAAGCAAGGGCAAGCCCCACCCTAATAATCAACCACGGTAGGGGCACAAGTACAACTCCAATGTTAGTAGCCCTTGTTGAGTGAGCAGGATCAAGATGCTAGTAAAATGTAAGTGCTAATGAGAACGCAGATATATCCAAGAGTCTGCAGGGAGGCCTGTGTGGAACTCCAAGGCGATGCCCTGTGTCATCTACAGACCTATCAGGATGGGTGCAGTCATGAGCCTACCAGAAAATCATTGGCAGTGGTGTTAGCCTGGGAGGAGCCCCAAAAGCAAAAGCCCTCCACTACCAATAGGATTCCGCCCCCCTCTATTCAAAGGAAACAAACAAATCAAATGAAGAGGCTGAGTAATTAGCATCATCATAATCCACAACTACAGCTAGAGGAGAAAGGAAATGAAGGGGTCTGGGGTGGGGTGGGGTGGTCTTCTTCAAAACAAAATGGTAGCACTGATCACAAACTTCCAAAGCGCGAACACAATCACCGGAGGAAAAAAGGCCCATACTTTTGGCAGAGAATGCAAATACTATAAAAGGGGGCTCTGTGTTTGGCTTTGGGTGTGTGTGTGTGTGTGTGCTTGCACGCACACAAACACACGCACATATATGTATATATATATATATTTACAATAGATCCTGGATTTAACAGACTAATGGGGGAAGGGATGTCCATCACATCTAAAAAAAATTGTAAAATGCAGTATTTTTTTTTTAAATACACGTGTAAAATGGCAAATGTGTATTTTACACCTGTGTCAAAATGGCCGAGGAGCAGAGGCAAAAAAAAAAAAAAAAGTGCAGACAGATTTTGTCCACTGCATCTGAAGCCCGCTGAACCAAGGTCTGGTAAATTAAGTGTGGTGTGTGTGTGTGTGTGTGTGTGTGTGTGTGTGTGTGTGTATTCACTGAACAAACGAACACTGTTCAACACCGGGATGGATACAGGGAGGAGAGGGGACCTTTGTTTTTTTGTTTTCGTTTTTTTGAAGTTGAAACATTTTTCACTGCAACATCTGGTCACCTGAACAGCTGCACACCAAAAGGAAGAAGAAAAAGAAAAAATGAAACTGGTAGGGATGGTGAGTGCATTATAGTCAGGCTGCAAGTCAGACAGCTGGATGGATTTGGCTGGGTTTGCTTCTTCTTTTTTAAATAATCGAGTCTACCTGGATTTGTGTTTTTCTTATGTGTTTCTCTCTCTCTCTCTCTCTTTGCAAACACAGGCACTGGAAATGAAAGAGGGGAAGGAGAGGGAACAGGGGGGGGGACACGAGCATGCGGGCGCGTGCTTGTCACTGCTGCTCCCGGCTAGTGGCTCAGCTGAAATCTCCATCTCCTTCGGGATGAAATCAAAACAGCCAGCATAAGTTCTGAAAGACAAACAGAAACGGAGACATCGTGAGGAACAACTCGGGAACCCCACGGGCGGCTCTAGGACAACTCGCCACGGCCAACCCTCTGTGGGGCAACTCACCGCAGGAGTTACACCCGTATCAAAGAAATGGTGGAACACAATCATCAAATAAAGGATGCAAGAGGAAATGTGAATGACAAAAATTAAAGTCATTTTCAGACTATTTTAAATACTTAAAATGAATTGCTGCATTGCCCCGCAGCGAGTTGGCCACGGCAACAGGCAAGCACGTCTGATGCAGAGATCTGGCCTCTGGTTTTCATAATCCTGAGGCTGTTGTGCATAACTCAAGTTTCAACCCTGAGCCTGGACATTAGCGGCACGGTAGACACATCTAACCATTTCCTGATTGTGATCCAACTCAAAAGACGCCTCTTTTACTGTAAAAGTCGGATTACCTTAACACTCAATACAGGAAGTCCTTGACTTACCATCTTCGCAGCATCCACATGACCATGGGACCAAAATTTGGACACTTGGCAACTGGCATGTATTTATGTTGCTGCAATGTCCTGGGGTCACAATTGGTGACCTTCCCAGCCGGCTTCCAACAAACAAACTCTATAGGGGAAGCCGACTTTGCTTAAGGACCGCCTTATCCACTAACAAGTACAGGGATTCACCTACAAATCGTGGTTAAAAAAAAGGTCGTAAATTCGGTTTGCTTAGCAATGGAAATTCTAATCCCAACTGTGGTCTTCAGTTAAGAACTACCTGTAACTGATTACTGTGTTTCCCCCAAAATAAGACCGGGTCTTAGATAAATTTTTGCTCCAAAACATGCTTATTTTCCAGTTACGTCTTATTTTCAGGGAAATACGGTACTAAATGCGTCCATCTGGCTGATGATCTTAACTGGGGCTTATTTTTGGGGTCGGGCTTACATTATGAGCATCCTGAAAAATCACACTAGGGCTTATTTTCCAGTTAGGGCTTATTTTGGAGAGAAACACGGTAGAAGTCATTTATTCCACTCTTTCAGCAGCATAGGGACACTGCTGGCTGGCTATGTTAGAAGAAAAACTCCCTCTTCCAGAACTGTGAGTTCTTTTCTAGAAGTTTGCCAGAGCTTAAAACTCTGCTTTCAAAATCAAATAACGATGCAACGCTCCTTTATTTTATTACTCGGACAGCGTCATTTAAGCAGAGTGATTACACATATATGTTCTTGAAAACCGAAGTCATGCGCTATTAGTCGATTCAATGAACTGGGGGGAAAAAAAAAACCGAGGGAGAACTGCTGGCTCATCAGAAGCGAAGTCAGCATGTTCGTCCACATTCAGTCTAATCTCTTGGAGTTTGTGAGCTAATTTTGGGGTAAAAATGGAACATTTGCATACCTGTCTATAAAAACCCAGCCGCCAGAAGGCCAAAAAAGCAGAAAAACTGCTCCCAATTGGGTCTTGCATGGATGCATTCTCAAATCCAACACAAGCAGGTTCTCCATATCAACCAACACAAACACATCCGTTGATCTTTCCCGGAAATGGGATTTGGTCACCCCTGTTTGCCATCTTCGTACCTTCACTGGAGTGGGGCCACCGGAGCTCCTGAGCAGTGGAAGTGGACATTCTGCCACTTGCCATCCCGGCGGTGCCAGACACGGGTCTCTTCGGACTGGCAAGTACGGGGACGGCCCTGCCCATCGATGTACTGTGTCAGGCGGATGTAGGCAATGCAGGCAGCATCTTCCCCAATGACATGTACGTGAGGGTTCAGGATAGTTGTGTGAATGGGCTTGTTGTTCTTAGATAACACTAGAAGGGCACAAACAGGCCACTGGTTAGGGAACTGTACAGCAGGAGAAGCAAGGAAATGGCAAGTTATTTGTAGCTCTTTCTCTTTCAGGAAAAAAAACAAACCAATTTGGTCTAGTGATTAAGGCATCAGGCTAGAAGACTGAGTTTAAGCATGAAAGCTGGCTGACATTTTTGCCAGACATTCTCTCTCTCTCAGCCCAACCCACAATAGAATAGAATAGAATAGAATTGAATAGAATAGAATAGAATAGAATAGAATAGAATAGAACAGAGAATGGAATGGAATGGAATGGAATGGAATAGAATAGAATAGAATAGAATAGAATAGAATAGAATAGAATAGAATAGAATAGACCTTGGGGGTTATCTAGTCCACAAGTCATAAAAGGGCCAAGTTTGAAGACCCTTGATCTAGTCCAACCCCCTGCTCAGGCAGGAAACTCTATACCATTTCAGACAAATGGTTGTCCAGTCTCTTCTTAAAAACTTCCAGTGTTGTGAGGAAAATTTATTGTGAGGAAAATAGGAAGGAGTATTAGGTATATTTACTGCCTTGAGTTATTTATAAAAAGGAATAAAGATGGGATTAAAAATAGCTGATTTGATTGGATTTAATCAGGTTTTGCTGGCTGATGTGGATTTACTGGATTTGTTTGACTTAATTAGGCACTAGTGATTAGGATTCTACTTGGCTTGAAGTGAAGGAAGGAAGAGCAGGAAAATGTTTGCTTCAATGGCTGGTTGTTGGCTTTTTACTTACGGATAAACAATTTTTATATCACCTATAATGTTGCAAAGTCTTGTTATCCAGCATCAATGGTTCAGCAGAAGCTCCATAGTAAGATTTTAGATGGATTGATCTTGCTGCTTATTTGTGCTTATCTATTTTGATTCTTTTCTTCTCTCTCTCTCTCTCTCTCTCTTTTTTGCTTTTATTTCTGTTTTATTTGCTGGCTACAGGCTGTCCTAAATAAAATTGACCTGGTAGGGCAGGCAGAATCTAATTTGGACAGCTGGTCTAAGGAAGGAGACCAAAGAATCACACTCTTAGCTTGTTTGGTTCAGTTCAGTGTAGTGTTTTTGCAAGGACATTTGGGCACCCTTTTGCTCTTTAAAGTTGAACACAAATTTTGGTGGGGAGACTGTGTTTATTATGGGATGGAGAGTGTATCATGAGCTTCCACCAGGCTCAACCATCAAGGCTCTAGTTTTGCTTCGGAATCTGTTCAGAAACAAAAAAAAAAGGGGGGGAGGCAGAAATTTGGAGCCCATGCATGTCGGGGATGTTTAGGCCAACACTGGATTGCTCGCTTTTCTATTAGACAATGCTGTACTCACAGTTTTCAAAGTAAAATCTGTGGAAGTCCATCCCTTCAACGAGATTGCCCAGCGCTTCAGGCTCAAACGAAGTTAGGCCTGGATCACATATTTTTCTAGGGAGAAAGAGAACGTGATCATTTAGATTAAGAGGGTTTTCATTTTTTCGCTCTTTTGGAAGGGAAAAATAACTTTTAAGCTTCTTAGATTTTTAGCACCTAACTTTTTCAGAAATTTTGCACAGCATCTGAATGAGTTCCACGCAAGAACAGGTCTAGATACTCACAGGATTATACTGCTCCCCTTTTCTACCCAAACATAAACAGATGGTCCAAGGCTAATGAGAAATTAGCTAATGAATGTGTATCACAAAACTATATCAAGTGTGTCTGCGCAGCTAAAAGAGACATGGCTGAACTGTTAAATAACCAGAGGATTATAACAGCAGAAAGCTGGAAGGGGACATTTCAATCTGAACCTTTGAAGTTGAGCCCACTTAAATCTGACCCATAGACAAAATTTCAAATTTAGCAAATCCAATTTACTAGCAGGCCAGACAGAGAAAAATGCAAATGAACTGACACATTGAAACTCTGATGCATAAAGCATCAACAGAGAACTTTTACAAGCATAAAACTGCTGCCTTCTAGGTAGAATAAAAGTCAAAGGGAAATTCCATGTTGATAAAGGCAATTATAACAGACGTCAAAGAATGTAGCTACGTGAGCAATTTTGGGCACACCCCCCCCCCCCAAATTGCATGTTAACAGCTTTGCTGTGCAAATGGCATTGGGTGCCAGTTTGCTTCCAAATCTAATTCAAGATGAGGTGGTGTACTTTAAACCCTTTTGATGGCATGGGGCCAGGTTACCTGCAGAAGGGCCCTCTACCCATTATATCAGCCCGTCCCACCCGGTCAGGCAGGGAGGCAAGTTACAGCCATTAAGATACTTGCATATAAAAACAGTCTTGTTTTAAAATAGGGAAGCATAACTATTGAAATGAAAAGTTTGCATACTGTTGTGTAGTCTGGAGTTGACTTATTAAAGGTATGGCCCTATTATGGACATAGTAAATAGCACAGCAACAAATTTAATTCTATTGATGAAGGGCTTACATCAATAAACAGCAATACATATAAAACTGCATACATATAAAATAGTGAGTTGCAAGATCAGGACCCCTGTAAGATCTCACACTCAGCCTACTCACGCATAGGCCTCAAAATCGCCATTGTTCACAGCCTCTATCAGCTGCTCCGTTATCTTGATTATTTCCTGTTTGCGGGCTAGGTAAAAAAAAAGAATCAGAGAAAACAGATGGGGAAATTAGCCAAATATGATCCAGAGTGAATACCTTTCATGTCAAGCAGAAAGCAGAAAGACACTGCCTTGCCACGCTCCATTCCTACTATTATTTTGCATCCTAAGGGCAATGTTACTATATTTAGGCCTCAAAAATCTGAACCATCCCTAGAGGGCAGCAAAGAGGAAGAAAACATGCTAGATCTTTGCTGCCATCAGGACTGTCTACAGTCCTGATCTAACCAAGAATAGTGTTGGAGTTAAACCAGGGAGAACTCAATTCAGAACTCTGGTTGACCATGAAGCTCTTTAAGAAACAGTGGACCAATTGTTTGGAGACCAGCCTACTGCAAATGATAGTTATGAGGGTTAAACTAAGATAGCATATGATGAGCTTCTTGGAGAAAAGGTGGATTGATATTAATAAGTCTCATATTACTAGTAGTATGGATATGGTCCTTCAGAATTGGGTGCCACGTTAAAAGAATATGGAAAAGACTAACCATGGGTCCAAAAGACACTGACTCCCTCCAAAATCAGAATGCACAGATATTTCCACCATATATGTACATCCTAAACTAGCTTTCCACCATAGAAAAGAAGTAAATCCTAACCTTATGGACCAGAGTGAGCAGAACTGATTTTACTGCAATCCTACAACTTAGGGAACCATAACCTATTGCCAGCTTCCATCACATTACAAGATTCCACCCTTGCCTCAAAGATCAAGGCATTCCTTTTTCCACAGAGAAATCTATTGTCCACTTACAATGATGTGGATTGAATCTCCACATATCTCTGAAACCAGCACACACAGAGAGATGCAGGAAGTTACAATGTACAGAAGTAACTCAATTAAAGCAAGTGCTATGAATAAACAAACACTCTAGTGGCAGAAATGGTGTCACCTGTCTTGTCTTGCCAGGTTTCAGGTGTGGCTCAGTATGAATAGAGACAGAGTCCAGGTATTTGCCTTTAAAGCTTTATGCTGAATAAAGCTTTAAAGCTTATTCAGCTGAATAAAGAGAGTCTCCTCTGAAGAAGAGGAAACCCTGAGTACATTTTGATCCTCATATTTATATGTTTGCTGCATTGTTTACTACATCACCCAGAAGCACTGGCACTCCCCACCCAGACAAGCTGGCACACTCTAGATAATAATAACAACAACAGCAACAACAACAATAATAAAGTTGAAAGGGACCTTGGAGGTCTTCTAGTCCAACCCCCTGCTCAGGCAGGAAACCTTATGCCATTTCAGACAACTGACTGCCCAGTCTCTTCTTAAAAACTTCCAGTCTTGGAGCATTCACAACTTCTGGAGGCAAGTTGTTCCACTGATTAATTGTTCTGTCAGAAAATTTCTCTTTATTTCTAGGTTGCTTCTCTCCTTAATTAGTTTCCATCCCTTGCTTCTCGTCCTGCTTTCAGGCACCTTGGAGAATAGCTTGACTCCCTCTTCTTTGTGGCAACCCCTGAGATACTGGAACACTGCTATCATGTCACCCCTAGTCCTTCTTTTCATTAAACTAGACATACCCAATTCCAGGACCTGTTCCTTATATGTTTTAGCCTCCAGTCCCCTGATCATCTTTGTTGCTCTTCTCTGTACTCTTTCTAGAGTCTCAACATCTTTTTTACATCGTGGTGACCAAAACTGGGTGCGTTATTCCAAGTGTGGCCTTACCAAGGTATTGGTGGAGATAAGATAAATGCAGAAATAACTACCCACTGCCCTTGGAGGTCTTCCAAAGACATCAAGTGTTATCTCAGGGACATTAGGTGTTTCCCAAGGAACTTACCATGACCTCGGAGGCCTGCACAGGCAATGATGACATAGCCAAATACGCTCCCTCAAGACTGTCAACAGAAACATTAGATTCCTGGTCAACAGTCCTGCCTAAATCCTTGGAACCTAAAGAAGTTTGGAAACTTCTGTCTTCACATGGACTGAAAATCCATTTCGTGGTTGGTTAGCAAGGATGTAGCCTTCAACCCTCCTTACCTGAACAATAAATTCCATTCTTCTCTAGACTTCTCCTCAAAACAGTTTGGATCTTAACTGTGTCTGTATCTTAGAGGGCCATAAGCCATAAGGAGAGAGTAAGTAATCTAAAAAATGTCTTGCAAGTAAGAACCTCTACCGAACCTCATCCAGTAAGAGACCCAATTCTGGGTCTGAGTGATATGTATTACAGGTATAATCCTTGACTTATGACCAGAATTAGGACTGGAATGTCCATCACAATATATTGCAGTTGTAAATCAAGTCAGGCCCAATTATATGACAATGTTTATGGTGGTTGTTAATAGATCCAACTCCATCCATTTCTGCATGGAGATGCTAACTTTTGTTTCTCAAATTAACTAAGCCTATGAACAAAGAGATCTGCTATGCAAATGAGCAACAGTATTTGGCTCTGTATTTTACTATCAACTGATTCCAACTTTCTGGATGCTCTTGAGTTTAAAATAGTCAACTGTGACTTAACAACTCTTGCTATTAAGAAGAATGCAAGGCTAAAAGAACTAATTGTCCATGGATATACTGTGGGAAAACTCACTTAGAAAACATGAAATTACACCAAAAATAACTGTACCTTGAACAATCATGGACTCATTTCTGATATATTAGCAAGACTAAAATATGATTCAGATGGATCCAGTAAAATCCGAGAATTGATAGATTTTGCCTTATAAGTTACGGATGACTCACTCCTGGGATAAATTAAATGGATAAAAAGGGGTAAGGGGAAACAGTGACCCTTTTCCTTAGCACCATAAGCCTTATCTGAGTCACAATTACAAGCTTCACAGAGCAATAACTCCCATTCTGCAAAGAATTGTCCCCAAATATTACTCAATTCTAAATGATATGACAGATTAGTCCACAGTTATCTGTGACTGACATAACTATTTCTTCTCGTGCTGCTGCTGCTTCACAAAGGACGAATGTTTCTCTTTTTTTTAACACATCTATTTACTTTAGAAAATTTCCAGAGCGTCTTTTGTTTCCACAGTTGGCCTACTCAAGGGACCTTATCCATTTTTTCTTTTTTTTTCATTAAGTGAATACTCATTCCTGGTCTGTCCCATTTTGCAGAAAGAGACAGTCAAAAAGATCATTCCATTTAAAAAAACAAAAACAAAAAACGAGCACTGAGGTTAGAGACTGAAATCCTATGCACATGTATCTAGAAGTAAGCTCCATACAAATAGGATGTATTCCAATTCAACACATTGGATCAGGACTATGGAAACCCAAGGTCATGTCAACCTCAAAAGCAGGAGTGTCCAACCTTGGTAACTTTAAGACCTGTGGACTTCAACTCCCAGAATTCCCCAGTCCTGCTGGCTGGGATATTCTGGGATTTGAAGTTCACAGGTCTTAACAGTTGCCAAGGTTGGACCCCCATGCTCTAAAGGTGGCTATGGCCCAGTCATTCACTTTTAGCCCAACCTATCTCGCCATTAAGTTGCCTTGAGCTTTGGAGGAAAGGTAGCTTATGCATTAAAATAATAATAATAATAATAAGCATAGCTAACCACCTGCTGGACTGGAGCCATCTTGGCTCTCCTCCCACCATTCCCATTTTTGCCTAAGTTGAAGTTGCATGGGCTGCAAGAAATAAGGTCATGGCTACAGTATAAGTAATATGTCTTCTGGGCTGCTGGTATTGCAGTTGGGAAAAAAAGTAGAATTCTGCTTTTCCAAGGGACAAAGAGAATAGAATGAATTAAACATAGTGAATAAAGGCAAGGAAATTGACCCGGTGCCATTCCAAATGCAGAGGCAACATGTGCACATAATATGGAAACATGGAACATAGACATAACATGGAATTCTTCAGATGTTACTGGCCAACATCTACCCTTGCAAGTAGATCACACCTATCAGTTTTCACCAATGCCAGCTAGCATTAAGAGAAGCTTAAGTTCAACATCTGCACATGGTTAAAGCCACTGATCATAGAACATTTGTCAGTACCTTCTAGGTTAAAGTATTTGATACAAGCACAACACATCTTTCGTGCCAAGACCACTTTTTCACAAGCCATCTGCATACAATGCAGTCTGCACAATCCAGTTCTCTCATGCACATGTATCCCACCTTCTCAGCCTCTACTTGGAGCAACCGACTGAAGCTTTAACCGTTCAAGCAAAGGCACATGGCAATAAGCGTTAGGCTGTTATTTCACACCTACAGTGTCGTAACAAGAACCGAATGTTCTTTCAAGTCTGAATAGATCAAGCTGGGATGAGCTGTTGGCTATCAGAGACCACATGCGCTACTTACGATCTGAAGGAAGAGGACTAGCAATGGGTGGAAATGGGAAAAACTGGGTGACAGCAGGCTGTGGCCCCTCAGCTTCTGGGGCTCCAGAGCCCCTTTTCACCATGCTTAGGACATCAGACAATTTCGAGGCTGGCGCAAGACAGATGAAAAGAAGGCATGGAGGTAATCATAAAATAAACAAATTAAAACAAAGCAATGATGTGGAGGAAAGGAATCTTCCAAGACAATATGTGATTTATTCAGGCTCAGTACTTTCTAGGTAAGCAGGTCTTAACCCAGAGATGATGATGATGATAATGATGATAATAACAACTTTATTGTCACTTTGAATGTACACCAATTGGCATACATCAAAATGAAATTTCGCTGTATACAGCTCTCAAAGGGTCACCACCTCCGATATATACTCCTTGTTCGTGGCCAGCTCAAGTTTCAGATTGTCCATTTTAGTCTCTAGGGAGCGAATGATGGCAAACAGGACAGATGGAAACGGAGCTCCGTGTGGATTAGCCCTCAAATTAGCTTGTATTCCTGCAGGACAACCTCGCCTCCTTTCCTTTTTCTGATCCTGACTCTTCCACTTTTCCTTAAAGAGGCCTTGCTTCTTTTTGCTCCTGGAACACGCTGCCACCGCCACCAACTCCTCCAAAAGCCTCTCTCCCATCCTCTGGGCCAACTATGGCCCCTTTATGGCTGAGGAATTCTGGGAGTTGAAGTCCACAAGTCATAAAAGGGCCATAGTTCCCCATCCGTCTTAACCTGACCCCTTATTTTATGAATATATATCCCTGTAACAACCCTACACCACAAACTAAACTGATTTCTTATAGGCTTCCAGCTACAATTACAGGTTGTCCTCTTTTTTTATTGTGGCACCTGCACCCTTCAATGACCTCTTGTTGTCCTTCTCTCAAAAGTATGGCTAGCTCTGACCCAGTTGGTCTTCAGAAAGGCAATAAAACATGGCTTTTTCCTCAGGCTTTGGATGATTGGAGTTTCTCTTTTGGAGAGGGACGTGAATATGAGTTCCTGGTTGCCTATTATATGTCTTTTAACTGATGTTCATCATCCTCTATTGCATGCTTCCCAGAGTTGCAATTTTTTTGCCCATTCTATCCATGAATAAATAAGAAAGCCCAACTTAGACATTTTCCATCTCTGATTCTGTATTACACTTATTAGGAAGATCTCCAGCTGAAACAAAGTTGACCTATTTCACAAGATAAATTACTAATTCTGAGAACCAGCTGGAAGCCTGTCTTTTCCTCCTGATTTATTAGAGCATCTCCAAGCACAAATTACTTCACCAGGTACAAATCCTTGCTAGAGAATAATCCCCAATGGAGTAACTTTCCACTTCTTCGGAAGCATTTCAGCCCTGATCAATGTGTTCATTCCCCTCACCTTCCCTATCAGTTTTTGAGTTGGCATCAACTCAAGCAATCTGACCTTGCCAAAAACCTCCAGAAGCTAGAGACTACCCACAGCTTTCGGTGGAAGCCTCTGGAATAAGAGTTTTGCAAGATTTGAGTTGTGCTGCTTGTGGGTTATGAGGGATAACCTCAGCAGGATTGAGTTACATCAAAGACAAGTCACAGAAAATCAACAATAATTTTTTAAAGGGGAGATCAATGAGAGAAGACAGTTCCCACTGTTTTTTTTTTTTTAAAAATAAACCCACAAAGGGCTCGTGTCAGTTGCAGGAACCGTAACAGAGAAATCCCAGGGATTACTTACACGAGGGAGAAAGAGGACTGGTGACAATAGAAGGTGGTCCAGGAAGGGGGCTGGAGGTCTTTGGCTCTTCACTTTTGGGGGGCGTAGAGCCCCCTTTCACCATGCCTAACACATCACAGAGTTTGGCAGCTGTGTTGGCAGTAGATGAGAAAAAGGGAAGGGAGGGGGGAGGGGAAATGAGAAAACAAAAAGCAAAAAGCAACCAGCAAAACAGAAATTAAATAATAATAATAATAATAATGATAAAGTTGGAAGGGACCTTGGAGGTCATCTAGTCCAACCCCCTGCTCAGGCAGGAAACCCTATACCATTTTGGACAAATGGCTGTCCAGTTTCTTCTTAAAAACTTCCAGTATTGGTGCATTCACCACTTCTGGAGGCAGGTTGTTCCACTGGTTAATTGTTCTAACTGTCAGGAAGTTTCTCCTTAGTTCTAGGTTGCTTCTCTCTTTGATTAGTTTCCACCCGTTGCTTCTTGTCCTGCCTTCAGGCGCTTTGAAGAATAGCTTGACTCCCTTTTCTTTGTGGCAGCCCCTGAGATATTGGAAGACTGCTATCATGTCCCCCCTCATCCTTCTCTTTGTTAAACTAGACATACCCAATTCCAGCAACCGTTCCTTATATTTTTTAGCCTCCAGTCCCCTAATCATCGTTGTTGCTCTTCTCTGTACTCTTTCTAGAGTCTCAACATCTTTTTTACATCGTGGTGACCAAAACTGGATGCAGTATTCCAAGTGTGGCCTTACTAAGGCATTGTAAAGTGGTATTAACACTTCACGTGATCTTGATTCTATCCCTCTGTTTATTTATTTATTTATTTATTATTTGGATTTAATGCAGCCTAGCACTGTGTTGGCTTTTTTGGCAGCTGTGGGAGAATCCCTCCTCGTAGTGGCAGAATGTTTAGGAGAACAGCCCCTCTTGACATTGTGCAACTGCACTGAGGGAAATTGCTTCCCTTTAAGCACAAGAAGTTTATTTAGAAGGGAGGAAGGTGGAAAGCCAGGGATCTCTAGGAGAACTCACTGCAGCCAACTCACCACAGGACAATTTGCCGCGGAACCAGAATTCAACGAATATCGAAGAAATGGTGGAACAGAATCATCAAAAAAAGGACGGCAAAGGAGGGATAGAAGGAAAGGTGAATGACAAAAATTAAAATAATGCTTAAACCATTTTAAATAATTAAACTGATTTGCTGAATTGTTCCACGGCGAGTTGGCTGTGGCAAGTTGTCCCGTTCCAAAAGCCGGAGGGATTTTGCACATTTGTGACATGCCGTTTTTAGAGGCAAGGGATACCTCTGCTACTTACACGGGAGAGGAAGAGGATTAGCAACAACCGCGGATGGGTTAGGCAGAGTAATGGAAGGCTTTGGGTCTTCAGCATCTGGGGGTCCAGAACCCCTTTTCACCATGCCTAAGACATCGGATAGTTTAGCAGCTAGGGTGAGATGAGGAAGAGAAAAAAAATGAAGAAACAAAATATAAAAAAAAAAACCACAGAGATGGGAAAAATTGAAACAGGAGGGCAGATTAAAGCAAGCACTCCACTGAAGGGAAGGACGTTGCTCAAGCAATGAAGCAGCAAGTGTCCTCATATGTTTGTGTGTTTAAGGCGTTAATCAGAGTCTACGTTGTACAAAATGATCACTGATTAATTAGGGGCGCTCAAGTCTCCTTTTCATTTGGTGTGCAAATGATTGTATTTGTTGCTTTTGTGAACTGACATCTAGCTGCAGTCCTGAATTCTTTGTGGAAGACTCTTTTGCACCAAGAATTACACGAGTTGCATAATAAACATGGAACAAATTCTGATCAACCCATCAATCCTTTCAGTGTACTTTACTGACTGAGTATTCCAACATTCAAGGGATGTTCTCCCATAAAAAGCAAGAAAAGCTAGTTCTTTAGAGCAGTTTCTACTGGGCTGTTCTCAGAAATCTACTTGCATTGGAGAGGAATGGGAGTTGCAACAATAAAAGGTGAGAAGGGTAAAATGACAGAAATGTTTGGTTTTTCTGCTTCAGAGAATTCTATTTCACTTGGCCTCGTACAGCAGAGAACTAGGCAACTGGGGCAAAAAATAAGAGTAGGGAAGGGAAGGGAAGAAAATCTCTAAAATGTTGAGTTAAAAAATATTAGAGAACCGCATCAGGACAAGAGCAGTAACAATTACAATTACAGTATAAGAGAAAGGAACTTAGAGGTCTTCTAGTCCAACCCTCTACTCAAACAGGAGACCTTATACCATTCCAGACAAATGGCTCTCCAATCTCTTCTTAAAAACCTCCAATGATGGAGCACCCACAACTTCTGGAGGCAAGCAGTTCCACTGTTTAATTGTTTGCACTGTCAGGGAATTTCTTCTTAGTTCTAGGTTGCTTCTCTCCTTGATAGGTTTCCACCCATTGTTTCTTGTCCAGCATTCAGGTACTTTGGAGAATGGGTTGGTCCCAGCCTCTCAAATACTGGAAGACTGCTAACAAGTCACCCCTAGTCCTACTCTTCATTAGACTAGACCAGTGATGGCGAACCTTTTAGAGACCGAGTGCCCAAACTGCAACCCAAAACCCACTTATGCATCGTTGGGTGCCGGGTGGGTGTGGCCCATTGGCTGGGCGTGGCCCATTGGGTGCGCGTGGCTACGGTGGTAACGGAGACTGGGTGGGACTAAAAAGTTCAATCAATTCCAACTTTGCAAGATCTTTTTTTCCCGCGAGTTGAAATTGACTGATTGAACCTTTTTGGGGGGGGTACACGGCGGCGGAGGCCTAAAGCAAAAAGGTTTTATAAAACCCAGCTGAAGGCCTAGAACTCGGGTGACGGCGTGCATGCCCACAGAGAGGGTTCTGAGTGCCGCCTCTGGCACCCGTGCCATAGGTTCGCCACCACTGGACTAGACATACCCAGTTCTTGCAACCACTCATCATATGTTTTATCTATGTTTGGTATCCTTTTCAGATGCTCTAGAATTCTCTAGCTTTGTGGAAATCCAGAATTTCGGCCTGTTGTTATTATGAATTATTTCTTATTCCATCTCTACAACCACAAGAATTTTCCATATCTGCGACTAATTATTTTAATTTGTTGCATGAATATTTGTTTTCCTGCTGAGGTTAAAAAAAATGAATCACACTGTAGACCTTTTGATTTAGCATCGTTTGACATTATTACGTTGCAGGACTTTCCAATGGATCATACAATTTTTGCTAATGAAATCCAAGCCAAGAATGTATTCATTAGATTTCATTAAAGCAATATAAGACCTGGTTTAATAACAAGCCACAAATGCTTTCCAGCAACCCTCTTTTTCAGCTACGTAGCTGTTGAATGCACACCCTAGCTCTCACACACTACTTACACTGGGGAGGGAGAGGGCTTGCTATAGCTGGTAATATGCAGGGTGAAGAATTTGTTGGGTCTTCAGCCACAGGAGTACCTGATCCCTTTTTCACCAGGCCTAATACATCAGAGAGCTTGGAGGCTGAGACAGGACAAATGAGAAAGGCAGGGAGGGAGGGAGAGAGGGAAAGAAAGAGAGAAGATAAAAAGGAAGGACAACGAAAAGTAACAGTGAGGTAGAAAAAAAAATCTGAAAAGATGACTCAAAGATGCAAAGAATCCTTTAACTGCCAATGAATCCAATGCACAAAGTGTGTTTAATCTGCCTAGTTATGGCTTTCTAAATCAATTTCTACTAGCATCACTAAAGCAAATGACTTAAGTTACATGGACACGAATAGGGGCTAAGTTGAAAGAACGTAGTCTAAGTTCAACTACTACTTGAGGATAGCCTGTTTTTTTTTTGTAATCATTCTTCTATATGGCCGAGCCTATATGAGGCCTGTTTTTTTTTGTAATCATTCTTCTATATGGCCGAGCCTATATGAGGCCTGTTTTTTTTGTAATCATTCTTCTATATGGCCGAGCCTATATGAGGCCTGTTTTTTTTGTAATCATTCTTCTATATGGCCGAGCCTATATGAGGCCTAGGGATTTAGACTTCTACCAAGTTTGCAAGCCAGATTAGGGCACCCAGCTTCTATTTTTTTTTTTTTTTTGGTTAAAATACTTACAGGCAACATGAAGCTGAATTCAGGAGCCATGATTTGAGGATCGGCTAGAACTGAAGATTAATTGGCAAAATCGTTACTCAAGCTAGCCATGGCTCAAATATAAAAGGTCCATCTAGAGGGGGATGTTGTTGAGCTATTCTTTGATTCTTCAAAAAGGAAGAATTAAAGGTTCAAGTAGGTTCATTCAGATAACAGGAAATCAAGCTTGTGGCTAGAGCTGAATGAAACCCATGGCTTAAGGCTTAAGTGGAAGGTCTAACTGGGGAACATCTTACCAAAAGCTGCCCAGAGTTGCTTAAGATGGGCAGCCCTATAAATCTTCCAAACAGACAAATTAACAGGTAAACAAACATTGGGGGCCTTGCAACTTACAAGCAGCCGTGATTGCAGCAGCAGCAGATGAGATGACAGATGTCTGAAGGCTGGGAGGAGGTTCAGGGGCAGATCCTGAATTCAGTTGACTTTTTACAAGCTCATTATCAGTGCTTTTAACTGGGGAGAATGTGAAAGAGTAGAAAAAGAAACAGAAACACCATAAAGACAGAAAGAAGAAGAAGAAGAAAAAAATCCAAAGAACAGTGACACCTTTGATAAAAGGAAAAAAAAACAAAAACAAAATAGGAGACATAGAATGGGAACGTAAGATGTATTTTAATAGAAAGGAGAAAAAAAAAGAATGGGGACATGGGATTAAGATACACAGACAACATATTTCCAGGTATGACAAGCAGGAAAGGTTTGATTATATTCATGTCCTGGGCAGGGAGTTTTTATAAGGTATCTGTACTGGTTGAAAATCCAACTCTTCACAGAGGGCTTGATCCCTTTAGTCCTAATAGACAACTTTCTCTCTCCCTGCAAACAGGCGATAGATCAGTGGTTCTCAACCTTTTTAATGCCGTGACCCCAACCGGTCGTAAGTCGAGGACTAAACTGGTCGTAAGTCGAGGACTAAACCGGTCATAAGTCGAGGACTTTCCCTGCCCGGGAGCGCCACGCATGCGTGGTTCCGCCCCCTGCGCCGGCCGAGGCGTAGCTGGCAAGCGGCAGAGACAGAGCAGGCTGACCACCAGCTGGCCCAGCCCAAGGGAGGTAAGGCACCCGCCGGAAAAGGGGAAAAAATGGCAGACAAAAAAAAGGCGGACAGCCTTGCTTGGCGACCCCCATGAAATGGTCGATCGACCCCAAATGGGGTCCCGACCCACAGGTTGAGAACCACTGCGATAGAGCATAAACTGACCTTCTGTGGACTTTCCCTACTGTTTTTAGTATCCTGAGGCTACAATCAAGCCAAGCAAAGGGTTACCAGTACAACAAGAAACATGGAATTCCAGGTAGAACAGGATATCTCTCCATAGTAGAAATCAGATTAAACGGGGTGCGTGGAAACCAGCCAAGGTATCCAAAAGGCCTGACTTCCTAAGAGTAGAATAGCATTTTTTTTAAGAGCCAGACTTAATATCCTCCCCTCAGCACTCTTGCAGGGTAGTTATGATAAAACCCCAATAGCTGAGCGAATGTGTGTACGTGTGGCAATGGGGAAGTTGAAGATATCTCACATGTCCTATTGCGCTGCAGATTCTACAGGGACATCAGGACAACGTACATTCTCCCTCTATTAGAGAGATTTCTAGGGAGAACAGATAACTCCTACGTGAAACCATCTCCTTCAGGATTCAAATCCAGCCACCACGCGTGCAGTAGCAAAATTTTGTGCTGCTGCAATGATAATAAGGGGAGAAAAAACACCTAAAGAACTAAAGATCCTTATTGATATTAATACTTTGCTTAGTTATTTTCTTACAGTTTCTAGAGGAATGTATTTATTTTCATGTTTCACTTTTGTGCTGGTCTGTAAGTGTAATAAAGATGGATTCTGATTCTTTATGAGGTATCTGAGCAGCAACATAGGATGTGATTAAGACTCAGCTTAGCTCTTCATAGATTCTAAACTTATGTCTATTGATCACATTGATCTGGGACCCATCGTTTAAGCATCAGGGCATCACATATTTCCTAACTCTATCCTGGCGCTTATACTTTGAACAATTTATGAAGAAAGTGAATGATAGAAGAGAATATGCATTACTTTTTCGGAAACCTCAGAGCTTTGAGACAAGACTTGTATCATGTCATCCCATCTTCGTCCCTCGTTTGTGAAAGGTTACAAGAGGCAACGGCCTATGACAAAGCTTTCCCCAAGAGTGGTCCATCTGTGTTCTTCTATTAGGGCGGTCCTTGTGTGTTCTCCTATCATCTCTTAGGCTTCAGAATGTCTCCTCTGCCTTTTTGTCGATAGCACTAGAAGCCACGTATCTAGACACACACCCACATTTTTTCTCTTGGAAATGCAAGCTGACTGAATCTTAATTCAAGTCTTTCTAGAAAACACAAGCCCAGTCTAGCATACGTATAGACCAGTGATGGCGAACCTATGGCACACGTGCCAGAGGCGGCACTCGGAGCCCTCTCTGTGGGCACGCATGCCGTTGCCCCAGCCCCGCCTCCCCACACGGCCCCCTCCTTACTAAGGCCCCCCTGGAGGAAAGTCGACCCCGGGCACGGCCCACATGGAGCAGCGCAGCCAAAGACATAGCTGGGCAGCAGGGACAAGACTCCGCCCTCGAGCCCCATAGTGTGCAGATGATGCTGTGGGGTGTGGGTGGAGGCCGTGGCTGCCATGGCGCTGCAGAGCTGCCTGGGCGATCTGCTGCGGTGGGCCATAGAGACGGTGCATGGCCCTGCAGGCAAGCGGGGGCGGAGCAGGCAGGGCGGGGGCGGTTTTGGGGCACTCGGTCTCTAAAAGGTTTGCCATCACTGGTATAGACCATACATCCACATGCCATCCATTGCAGCAGAACTGCGTTTACACAAATTAACCTCATCAGTCAAGAAACACAATTTGAGCCTAATAATGCAGCAGGAATCCACCCCCCCCCCCCCCCCGCAACTGATCTGGACCTCTGCTTTACAAAATATAAAAGATTATGCTTCAAAACAAAAGTTATTTGGTGACAAAGGCATACGCAGGAAGTACAGCTACCTGTTGGACTGCAGAGAAAGCTGAAGGTTACTCTGAAAGAGTGCTATCTCCCCCAGTGTGTGTGTGTGTGTGTGTGTGTGTGTGAGAGAGAGAGAGAGAGAAAGAGAGAGAGAGAGAGAGAGAGAGAGAGAGAGAGAGAGAGAGAGAGAGTGTGTTACAAATCCAACCTTCCTTTCTCTTCCAACATAAAGATATCTATACTGTCAAAAAGTTTTGTACTGGTTGACCTGCGCACCGTTTGTGCCCATTCCTGGACCAGAAGGCCTTGCTCATAGTGATTCGCATCCTAGTTACCTGCTGTTTGGATTACAGTAACATACTCTTCATGAAACTGCCATTGAAGAGCATTTGGAAGCTACAGTTTGTCCAGAATACAACAGTGTGGAGCAGTTTTTGATGTTTCTTATGCATTCGTATAACACCGCCACTCTGTGAACTGCACTATGTCCCAGTAGGCTTCTGGGTGAAACTGAAGGTGATGGTTAGCGCTTATACACAGCACAGGACCAAGCTATTTGCAAGACTGTTTATGTCCCATCATCTGTGCTCACCCTGCTAGATCTAGCAGCGAGGGTGTGTTCCTTTTCCCCCCTCTGTCAAATAATGTCATCTTGTTGGACCCAGAAGTTATACCTTTGTGGCACTTGTCCTGTAGATCCTGTGGGCAATACTGGTGGCATCATGACTGGAAGGGGAATCACACTATTCAGCTTGTTTTCATGGAGCGAAATATACAGTGTCTTAAGCGTTACAAAAGCTTCATATTGCTTTCTGCTCTTCCCTCTAGTAGGGCAGAACTGACTCGTTCTATCTTGCTTATTAATTTCTTTAAATGTGTTATTCGAAAAGAGGCGTGTTAAGCATGGGTTAGGTTGGATAGGCTTTTAAGCCTAGACTTGCATTACCACTTATAATAAAAACACCCGTAATTAGGGCAGATACAGATTTCACACAGACAACATTTCTCAAGTATCCATGAAGCTCGACTGTCATCACCAAGAGTCAACAGCCTGCAAGCATTGGGGTATAACATCTTCACAGTAAGCCAGGATTCATCAAACAAGCAAGAGCATGCACATCTGTGTTCCATTTGCCCACAACTTCCTTTCTGGCCATGGTCTAAGATGGAGTCTGCATTTATCCATTTCTCCTAGGTAAATTGCTATGGCTTCCAATATTCCATTTACGGTCAAGCGCGCAGACAATCAGGAGTATGCAAGCAGAATAACTAACTCTACAGATGTCAAGCTTTTGACCTCTGGGCCAACTCCTTAAATCTGTTACCTTTTGTGTCCTCATCCTCTATGGTGGTGTTTGTGCTGTCGGATGATTCCTGTGGAGACACACAGAGGAGGAGGAGAAAAAGAAAGCAAAAGGTTAGCAGCTCTAGCCAGAAACAGATGCTTGAGGAGAGGGTGAAGTTGTACAATTTGAGACCAGAGAATCTGGATAAATCAGAAAAGAAACCGTGAGATACTCAAAACTCTCTTTTCTCATATGACAATAAATAGCCATATGAATCAATATAGAAGTATCTGCCCCAAGAAAACTAGGGAGATGATTCACAAAGTATGCCAGCTTAAAAAACAGAACTGCGGTTGGCTTTGTTTGTCTTGCTTCTTAAGAAAGAAAGAACTCAAATCTGATCACTAGTAAGATTGATAGAGACGTCTCATGCAGAATTGAGCTGTAAGTCCCATTTTTAGTGTTGCAGTGTGGATCAACTGTAAATCACAAGGGGGAAAAAATGCACAACTGCCATTTGCTTCCACATATGCGTGAACCTAGACTTGAGATAATTATGTCTAGCTGTGTCAGACCCTATTTACTACTGCAGCATCTGTCGTGACATAAACTTACTCTTGTTTGCAGAATTATGGTCCGACTCATAACTATGAGAATGTTCTCATTTCTCATCAAAGAATGTTATTCTAGAATTAAGACTTGTCAGACTGTCTGAGTGATCTGTAGCAGAGTTTCTCAGCTTCAGCAACTTTTAAGATGTGTGGATTACAACAGCCAGAACTTCCCAGCCAGCTACAGCTAAAGTTGTGGAGGTTGAGAAACATTGATTTACAGCATGATATCCTTTGAGGTGTGGAGCTGGTCTGGGGATAGATATTACTACTGTTCCTCAAAGTAAGGTTTAGTTGGAAATAAATGCCATTGATTAGATTAAGGGGTCTGCATAACATAGAATCTTATCCTTCTCGTACTATTACAATTAATTTAAAAATTCCAAACAGAATGATTAGTTTTTTAACTTTGATAAAAATGTGCGTTGTATTAATTAACATTAATTAATTAATTAATCATTTCCCCCCTTCTGTTCAATTGTGTCTAATTCTTGGAGATTGCCAGGAGTCCCTGCAGTTTTCTGGGGGAAGCAAATGCAATAAAAGCAGCAAATGTGAGATCCTCACAAGTTTGTTTTTTTTCACACAAACCACCTATCTCATTTGTCTAAAACAGAGCAGATTTAACATTATGATAATATTTTAAAACAGTTCAGTTTTCTGTGACACCTCAAAAGAAAATGGTTGCTCTCCCCTCAGGATGAAAAAAGCTACGTTTCTAATATGAGAAGATTTTCCTCTCCAAACATTTGCAGCAGAAAAGAATATATTCTAGAAATAATTGTTAATATGAACAGAAGACCTTTGTAGCCTCCATTTATTGCCCAGTTGGAAGAAAATCTAAACCCCACTTTCAACATACCACCCCAGATTCCTCATCCCAATACAATTTGATATAGGGGTACCAGTCCCCAGACTTACAATTTTACTTCCTCTAAAAAAAAACAAAAAACAAATAAGTTGTATAATTAGAAAAACATTACCCTTTTTTTCTTAAAATTCATCTAAACCAGGAAATATTCTGTCCAGAAGAAAAGATAAATAAACGGGGATACTAATACAGTTTCCTTGACCAGCCTCTTATGAGATTTAACCTTTTAAAAACAAAAAGCAAATTGGCCAACCCACAAAAAAAAATAATCCAACTGGTTTCCTTCTTAAGGCTATGTCAGATGCACTGAGTGAATGGGCTTGAAGAGGTAGCATAAACATGATAAAAAATTAAAGCCCCTGCAGCAAAGAATGGGTTAAAAAAATGCAGGTCTGGGTAGAAGTGAAGGCCAGGATAGATAATGAATGATTGTGACATGGCTTAATTATGCTGGTCCTCAGACGGTCCAGTCTCTTGGGCTGTCTCTCTTTGGTCTGCCTGGCTGCGTTCTTTCACTTGAGCAGGAAGGAGCTCTGGGGTCAGAGTTGAGGCTTTCTTCCCCATCCTATCCCCCAGCGCAAAAACGCTCAGTTGAGTCTTCTGGGAATATTGGAGTCTCCACACAGACTGAGAACCCCAGATGGGGAAAGTTGCCTCCCACATCTGGAGTTCTTCCCCATCTGGGATTCTCAACCTGCGTGGAGACTGCAGTCACCCAAACTAGCAGGTCTCAACACATCTAGGACCAGAACAGGAGAAAACAGGTTTGAAGGACAATCCCATCCTCCAGAAGAGCTAGTTCCAAGTGACAAGTGACTATCAACTTCTCCCCCTCAATTCCATCTGTTTGGTCTGGACCACCTTTCTCAGCCTCTTTGTAAGTCTCAAAGACCTGGAGCAAAATGTAGGGAACATTTTGGAACCACCAGCAAGGGAGTCATGGAAATTGTTCACCTTCCTCCCCATTTAGTGGAAAGTCCAATATTTGTGATTCTTCAGGAAGGCCAGACCTTTCAAAAACAGTGCTGCAGTTGTAACTTCGTGCTTTTTATAACACCTCAAAGGGCAGCCCTCTTCCCCCTCCTTTTATTATAGGCCAGTGGATTAAAGTCTAGGTTGCAGGGTTTCAGGCATAGGAGAAAAATGCACAATCTGAGCCTACGGTCTGTCCCCAGAGGTGAAATTACACAGCAATGCAAGGAGCAGAAAAAAAAAGTCAATTTTTATCCAAGATAACAAAAAGGGCAAAACTGAGGAGAAGGAAAGACAGGCAGCAGTACCTTAATGCTGTCCACTGGGTTATGGATAACGGTGGTTTGAGGTTCCTACAGAGGAAGGAAAGATGAACCAAAGAAGAACAGAACAAAGAAGAAGAGGAAGAAATTAAAAAAAAAAATAGAGAGGCAATAATTGGAAGAGGAGATGGAGCAGAAAATGATGGTAAAAAATATGAAAAAAAAGGGAAAAGGGAGGGGGAAAAAGACCAAGACCCACATAAGAGCAGGGGAGGGGAACAAAATGGAAGGGAAAAAAGCAAAAGGCAATTAGTTCAGCAAAAGGCAAATGATTAACAAACAAAAAGTGGCAGAATAAATCAGGAAGAGAAGAATCAAAACTGGATTTTCCATGAATGAAACCAAAAAATCATATTCGGACCCCATGAGAAGATTGCTGTGACCCCCTTGGAAATGGAGAGGGCAAGCAGAAGTATCTATGTTCAATCCGTTGCGCAATAGGGAGCATGGCCAGAGAACAGAGAAAAAACTGGTAGTCGGGAGCTGCAACCAAATCTCCTACCTGGGTGGTTAACATCTCAACGCAGGTTCCACTAAAGATGGAAGGAGGGGAAAAAAGAAGCAAAAGAAGAGCAGAAGGTCCTCTGACCACGTTTCTCAGATTTGTGCTATGCTCTGAATTTTTAAGTTAAGAACCAATCTCTATCCCACGTCATGGGCCCATTCCGTGATGATCCTGTAGTTTAGATCTCTTACCCATAGGGTACACAACAGAGGACTTAGCAAGAGGTATGGGGTATGAAAAGTCCATCCAACATAGTTCTGGAGATAGCTGAGCAAAGGTTTTAGTAGCTGAGAACTTACCTTCCACAACATACATTGTTTTACAAATCTTCGGTGCTTTTCTGACACTTTAAAGATGTACTTACCTGGAAACAGGTAATTCTAGGGCACTAAACTCATGTGTTCAGTTTGCATGGATATGGACAAGACTTTTATGGCGTGATGTAGGCAGAGTGGTGAAGTGAATTTGGCAGGACTAGCTAACATGTAAGAATGAGAGACAGGTCTCTCCCCCCTTTTTTTTACACGACCGTTAAAATATCATCTTTCTACCAGGTGATTTGAGGAGAGCTTGGGAGAATAAGAACCATTTCAAAGCTGAGAAACTGTCAGAAAATCTGTTTGTCATGTATTTGATGTGGTCTTAAGAATTATCCACACATATATCTCTACCTACTTTAGTAACAATGAATGTGTGGCCAATTTATGACCTGGTGCTAAATATGCTTAAAGGTGTGGTGTGAATAAAATGGGGAAAGAGAAGAAATATATGCACATTACGGTAATCAAGCTCTGAAATAACTAAATAGTAAATAATGCATGCTTTGGTGCAGGATCTTCCAAATTCAGTCTTTGGTATTTCCAGTTAAATGAGCAGGTAGCTGGAGATGAAAAAGAATCTTCTTTGCTGGGAACCTTTGAAAAATCCTGTCAATCACTGTTCAGCTGTCTTCTCCAAGTTGACACATTTCAAGCAGGCTGGGCACCAGGGATATTGTAGACCCAATGCATTTGAAGGAGATCAGATTGGAGAAGGCTGCTGCTGGACCGTCAACACGAGGTCAACAGAGTAACAGATTTGAAAGGGACCTTGGAAGACTTCTAGTCCAACTCCCTGCCCATGCAAGAAACCCTCAACCATTTCAGACAAATGGTTGTCCCATCTCAGTTAGACAAACAATTAATTTGGGCTGTTAAAACAACTTCCTTGCTTTGGTGATAAGATATTTTCAAAGTAGGCTTGATCCTAAACTCACTAGCAATTTGGAGAGTAATTAAAGTACATTTGTGCTGCATTGTGTCTTAGAACAACAGCTATGAAAGGAAGCGCTGAACCAAAAATCTAAAGCAACGGATCCTAGTTCAGTCATTTTTAGATAATTATGAAAGCAAGAACACCTCTTTCTACGTCTCATAGCTACAACCCAGTTTGTGCAAACCTGCTAAACATTCCGGGCAGAATATGAATTACTATAATGGCTCGTGTGATTGGACTTAAAGGCTAGAGTCCTCACTGTGCAAGCTTGGTGCAGCTCAATAGTTCTTTTTATGCGAGGGGTTGGGGACGTTGAAGAATGAGTTCATAAAAAGGCAGGTTGTTTCTGTGCTCACGAATTACCTACTGACACGGGCACCAGCACTCCCCATTTAAGAGGCTATTCAGAACTAGCAATAAAAGCAAAGCATCTTGACTGCCACTGAGAGGAACCGAACAAAAAACTATGTTTGAGGGTTGCAGATGAAAGTCAATTCCCATCTGAAGAGGTTGGAACGATGGGCGGGAGTATCAGCTGGGGAGGGGATGCAGGAGCAAATGAAGGCAACCCCCCCCCCCCATACACGTAGGTTTCACATCTCTTTTCAAGATCTAACCAACCCTGTGTTTCTTGCCCCCACTGGCAAATTCTGAATTGATGCATTCTTCACCAACCGCTCAGTAATATTTAATATGCCACATAGGGCTCTAGCTATTGAAATCCCTGAAGGGTTGGCCTCCTTGCCTTCAACAAAGCCAAACTCTCGCTTAATAGACAACTGGAGAATTGGGCTGGGAAAACAAAACAAAACAATCCATTTTGCTCAATCAAAGGCAGTTTTCAACCCTGTTTCTTTGGAAGGCAAATATTTGTTCCCCTCGATCACAGAAGGGATCTGTAGTTCCTGCCACACTGAAGGAACTGACAAGGCTGTCCCAGCATATATTATCATCTAGGGTGCTTCTATGCTGGGGGAAAAAAAAAACTTCCAGAGTCTTATTAAGTTTATTCTCTGGAATCTTTCCTAATATAAACTACTTAAATTGACTATATTAAATTGACTACATCTGACTCAGTTAATATTTTCTCTTTGAAAGGAAGGGCCAATGACTGATATAGCTTGGGAAATGATCACTAAATTCTCTGAAAATAGCATTCATCATATAACGACAGCATTTCAAATTGCCTCTTTTAAGCTCATAAAAGAACCAAATAAGTGGAAAACAACATTTTTCATCGTGAGAACCAGTTCAAGGTCTAGTTTTAAATTAAATAATTACAAAGAAAGCTGTTGAAGATGAATGGGCTGTAAACATTGAATGTGGGTCTCATAGTTTCTTCTGCAAGAAAAGAAGTTCAGCCTTGTTATTTTAATAATAATAATAATAATAATAATAATAATAATAATAATAATAATAATAATAATAATAATAATAATAATAATAATAATAATAAAAAAGTTGTAAGGGACCTTGGAGGTCATCAAGTCCAACCCCCTGCCCAGGCAGGAACCCTACACCATTTCAGACAAACGGCTGTCCAGTCTCTTCTTAAAAACTTCCAGTGTTGGAGCATTCACCGCTTCTGGAGGCAGGTTGTTCCACTGGCTAATTGTTCTAACTGTCAGGAAGTTTCTCCTTAGTTCTAGGTTGCTTCTCTCCTTGATCAGTTTCCACCCATTGCTTCTCGTCCTGCCTTCAGGCGCCTTGGAGAATAGCTTGACTCCCTCTTCTTTGTGGCAGCCCCTGAGATATTGGAACACTGCTATCATGTCCCCCCTCGTCCTTCTCTTCGTTAAACTAGACGAAGATTTTGATCAATTATAACAGTCCATTTCCTGCATTTTTAACATTCTGTTACCTTTCTAGTGTATGTATGTATGATGTAGATGTGCTCTATTCTCTTCTGGACAACTCCACGTGCTGTTTTGGATTCATACAATTTAATTTAAATCTGCTGTCTCCATCCCTTGACCTCTTTTAATACTTTTTGTACTGAAATAATTAGTGGGCAAAGAAAAATTTTCAATAAAAAAATGCCACTGGCATTGAAAGAATTAGTCTCATCATCTAATTTGTGTCACATTCATATAAGCAAAGATCACGGAATGAGGTCACTTAGAACTGCTCAATATGTTTTCGATCTGTGACCTTCATTAAAATCCCAGTTGTGGAATTTTATTTCCCTTCAAAAGCAACAAAAACTTCAAGGTATCTTCCTTGGCCAGCAAAGCCAACGGGTGAACTTTAACATCATCATTTTCTAAACGAATCTCAGTATATATATATATATTTGCAAATATTTTAAGTTGCATCTGTCTTCCCAACTCACCACTCTTTACTTTCTTGAAATCTGTTTTCCTGGCAATACTGAATTACGATCTAGAGAAAGGGCAATACTTTTTAAAGAAACATTACATTAATCTACTTCTCTCTATTAATTTGCCATCTAGCGCATTCCACAATGCAGAGTGATATAATCTGGCCATTTTACTACAATTTTGATGGGATTTGGAAGCCCTGGAGATGTGCTTCACATTTGTATACTGATGATAATCTTAAACACATCAGAATACAGTTCCTGGAAGATTGAATTTTCACCTTCCACAGTTCAAATGTAAGGAACGGTTGCTGGAATTGGGTATGTCTAGTTTAACGAAGAGAAGGACGAGGGGGGACATGATAGCAGTGTTCCAATATTCAGTGGCGTAGCGTGGGTTGTCAGCACCCGGGGCAAGTAATTTGCGCCTCCCTCCACAGTGGGCGGCGTCGGCGACCCAGCGGCTCGGATCGGATTCGCACAGCCAGCACTGCAGAGAGAGTGAGTGAGCCAGGCAGGGGCAGAGAGCTGCGAGTGCGAGCGCGCCCCCCCAGATGTTGCGCCCGGTGCGCCCGGCCCCCCCTGCACCCCCCACGCTACACCTCTGCCAATATCTCAGGGGCTGCCCCAAAGAAGAGGGAGTCAAGCTACTTTCCAAAGCGCCTGAAGGCAGGACAAGAAGCAATGGGTGGAAACTAATCAAGGAGAGAAGCAACCTAGAACTAAGGAGAAACTTCCTGACAGTTAGAACAATTAACCAGTGGAACAACCTGCCTCCAGAAGTTGTGATTGCTCCAACACTGGAAGTTTTTAAGAAGAAACTAGACAGCCATTTGTCCGAAACGGTATAGGGTTACCTGCCTGAGCAGGAGGTTGGACTCGATGACCTCCAAGGTCCCTTCCAACTTTTTTTTTTATTATTATTATTATTATTATTATTATTATTATTATTATTATTATTATTATTATTATTATTATTATTATTATTTATTAAGACTGCAAGGCATTATTACAAAACTGATATTTATCTGGTAGAAAAGCTCTACCCAAGCTGCAGTTTCTGTGTTCAAATGCAGGACATCCAAGCCATTTAAAGAACCCCACATTTGCGAGGTTTGAGGGATACTTATTTAATAAATTCATATTGCAATGGTTTAAAAAAACCCTATTGTTTAGTGTCTTAATCTGGGCTAATCTGCTTTATATAGAATTAATTAGAGCAGTAATTGTTGCTTTAAAAACTTCACACAAACTTCATTAGACTTGTTTCTTACAAAGGCAATCTGTGGTTTAGTTTGTTGCTCTTTTCTTTTTCTGTTCTGTCTTTAAGGCTATGGCACAATTTGTCTATCAAGAAGACGAATAAAACTTTAAAATATTTATGTCTAAATTTTTAAGTCATATCGGTACTCAAGTGGTCTTGAAGAACTGGATTTTTCTACTCAGAAACAAATGTTTTAACAGGAATCCAGAACTGCTGTCACCTTTGAAGAACTTTGGCTTTTCTAAGTTTACTTAATACATTACACTCCCAAACATGATTTATAATTATAATTTATTTGTGATATACTAGAACCATATTCGGGTAGTGTTCCTATATGTGTTCAAGTTTCCATTTTTTTAAAACTGAAAAAAGTTTTCCTTTTGCTTTTTTCTCGAGTGGATTTCATACTTGCCCTACTGAAGTCTCATTTAACACCAAATTGTAAAGTAGCCATAAGCTTATAGATACTTTTAAGTTTCTGTAACCAACCTGGCCTATGGATTGAACACATCTGGAAAGCAGGTTTTGATACTCAGGCAGAAAGTACAAATTTGCACAAAGCAGGCCAGGGGTGATACCCACAGATGGGATTTCCAGGAGAATTTAGAGGCCAAAAAAAAAAAAAGTTAACAATTATAGTTACTGATATCTATTATTTCTCAGAATGACTAATGAGAAAAGATATAAATTTTAGACTCTCTTATTTGTTCTTTCTATCCAAAAATAAAATCAGTTCTTAGTTTTTCTTCTTTTGGAGGTGATGGGGGTAAGGAAATTGCTTTATTCTTGTTTGATTGTCTGCTGGGCTCAAGACAGTATTAATTTGCAATTCAAATACTCTTATCTTGTATTAGTGCAGTACTGAACTTGAGACATCATAATCAATGTGGAATATACTGTGGCTGAATTTTGTTACCAGGAAGCAAATTAAAACATTTAAGACTGAACTGTATTCTAGGCAGAAAAGTCAACTGAGTGGGGTCTTCTGGGTATATATATACAAGTGCCTAGCATGTAGACTGCCTAGGTTCGAATCCCATAAAGGGTGTGGCTAGCTGATGAGGACTAATGAGTCCGAAATAGCTATACTAGTCTCCCACTTAAATCTTTAACTCTTTGTCAGCAAAAAGAAATCTGAATTTGTAATGTATCGCAGTTGCGACTTGAGCCTGCTTAACGCCCCTAGTTGGGGGGGCTGCAAGGCAAAAGAGATTATAAAAAAAAAAGTAGAACTGCAGTATAGCAGTCAAAATGCCAAGGTGTAATCAATCAGACACAGTCTGTCTGAAAAACTTTCTACCTACACACACACACACACACACACACACAGAAGACCCCACTCAGTTGACTTTTCTGCCTAGAATACAGTTCAATCTTAAATGTTTTAATTTAAGGACAGCACGAAAGAATTCATGGATCCACAACAGTAACAGACAAGTTAGAGGCAGAACGTAGAGTTGAAGTCATCTTAAATCATGTACAGTTGTATCAGCAAGCATTAAGGAGCAACTACATCAGCAAAACCACAGGGAAATCATTTTTTTGTCTAAAAATAGAAGGAAAATAGAAAGAAAACTGTACCAGTGCGGCGGGCGGAAGGGTCCCTTTTGGGCTGGTAACTCCGGTGCTGCTTTTGGTGCTGTTCGTCTGAGGCTGTATCAAACATACACATTTTCGTCAATGAATGAATGGACACAAAGCACTTTTCATTCAGATAATCCATATCAAGAATTTAAACTCATAAAGGGTGCATCACTTCATGATTTACCTAGCAATTATGTACAGCTAATGCTTTGGAAGAGATTGGTCTCTCCTTTCACCACCATTCGGAGAACTTTAACTTGTGGCGAATAGAAGAGTACTTTAATTTCTACCATTTAGCCGTTTTGCTAATTGAGTTTCTGAAAACGATCATGGACCCAGAGCAGAACAATCTCTCCCTGTTAATACAGCACAAGCTGGAATCTCTTTCCCTGGTTTTTTTCTCTTTCATGGAATGTCCCACTAAAAGCCCAGAGAGATATTTACCTTCACGCCATCCGCTTTCTTGTTCAGTAAACTTTTAGCTGCTGCACAGGGACGGAAAAAGAGATTTTAGTGGCAACTCTCTTGGTATCTTGAGAAAGCACTGTCTAAATAGCCTTCCCCTCCTCCCCCCAAAAACACCCCCACACACACACACCAGCAGCACTGATGCTGTTTCCCCATCCAACTGCTAAAAGGCGAGTTGAGAACAATGGCTAAGTCCCAAAGCCCAGTGAGCATGGGCAAAGTCCCAACGTCTCCAAGCCAGAAGTAGACCTACAGATGAATAAGTTTCGCAAATGGGCAACCCCCCCCCCAAATAGGGAGGTCAGTAAGGGGTCTGCAATAATACAAAACAGTGGAAGCTTTGCTCAATGGTACTTTAGTCACTGTTGTTTCTCAAACTGCCATTGGCTTGGCTTGGGCACACATTGTGCCCAGCCACAAAAGGAGATCATCTCTGTAGAGCACTGTTCTGTTTAACAAAGCAGTCGTCTTGAATAAAGTGGGACAGGATCCTTCTAAGGAGAAATTCTCCAAGCATTCCTTCTCCTCTTTAGCCGAACTTGCAGAAGAACGGGGACAGCTTCTTGAATATTAATTCCTTCGTGCTAGTAGCTCCAAGACCCATCCTAAGTACCTACTTATTTTAGAGATGCTGACATTTGCAATGAAAATGCTAGATATTTTCAACAGAATTGCATACAGGTTCCTTTCTATTTGAAACAAAGAGTATCAGTCTTTCTTATACTTGGCAAACCTTCAAGACAACCCTGAGTCTTGGAGATGCCCCTATAACTATCTTGGCAACAATCTGTCTTCTTCTAAGATGACACTACTATCATTATCATTATCATCATTATCATGTAATCTAGCCCCACGATCCTAGCATCTCCCAGTAATTCCCCATCCACGAAGTAGTTAGGTCCAATCCCACTTAGTTTTTCGTGACCAACTAAATTTGGCTAAGCACAGGATTTGGGGGGATTGGGGAGATGCCTACAAGTCAGTGTTGATTCCTGATGACTGTCTGGGATTAGTCCTTGCTGTTTTCTTGACAAAACTTTTGGGAGTGGTTTGCCATTGCCTCCTTCCTAAGTCTGAGAGAGAGTGACTGGCCCAAAGTCAGTCTAATGTGGGACTAGAACTCCCAATCTCCCAGTTGGTAGCCTGGTGCCTTAACCACTACACAAGCAGGCTCTCTCCTTTTGCACTGAGAATTTCCAAATTCTTAAAACACGAGCTGTAACCCAAGCTGACTCTCACCAGCCAAGCTATACAATTCTGCTCCTAGCAACCATTTTTAATCTTTGAAGCAAGGCTGGAGCCCATATTCTGATTTCTAAACAAGTCACATCTGCTTCTTTATTGAAGCCACTCCATTACAATCCATTAAGCAAGCTGCATTGTTTTCCCATATGTTAAGATTGTGACCGTATTATGCCCAACCTAGCACCGGTCTTTCTTCTCTCTGTAATTGGGATTTCCATGTAAAAGGTGGTATAGAATCATTTCATTTCCACCTACATCTCATGAGATATTAATAATCCTCGAAAATTCAATGATTACAGCACTGGCTTCTTATGTTAGGTTGGAGTTTAGCATTCGGAGAATATGGATTTCTTGGCCATTGCATGATCGGTTTTTGGTTTTTGTAATTGTTTTTTTTTTGTTGCTATTATTTGGCTGAGGAGAGACCCAAGAGTGATATGGCAAAAAAAAAAAAAAAAAGCTGAACTGAAATGAAATGCATGGTAAGGCTGAGAGTGGGGTTAAGAAGAGTGATGAGAGCAAGTGTGGTAGGGTTTAAGACTAAAGTGAACAGAAACTTGGTTATCCATTATTTGGATGTGGTTAAGAGAACTTCAGGAAATCGACAAAGCCATGAGAATCCTCTAGGGATTGAATAGTTGATGACTCTTGTGTTGTATCTGGGCCAAAGCCGGGTAATTTGTACAGTGCAGTAAATTTGTCTAGTGTGCAGTAAAAGAAACCAAGTTACAAACTATTATTATCTACTGTGATACTGATGTCAGATGGAGCACCGTATGCGGAAGAAAATGACTCCATCTGCTTCTGAATCCCAGTCTTATAACCCCCTCGGTCCCAACATTAAGTCCAGTCACCACCATTGATAGTTATCATATCAAAGGCCAGAACTCAACAAAAAGTTTGCTTACCTTACAGAAATTTACAGAAGAGGAAAAGGCGAGAGAGAGAGAGAGGGGCAGTAAGAAGGAGGATTGGAGGAGGGATGGGGAGAAAGAGAGGGAGAGGAAAAAAAGGGGGGGGGAGAGAAAAAGTGTTGAGACAGAAAGCAAAGCCTTTGGGACAGAGGCCCTGTCTTGACACCAAGGGGGAGTGAAGCAGCAGCACCAGCACCACAGAAGCAGCACCACAGAAGACTTTGCTCATACGCACAGGGAGGAAATGGACCACACAGTCACCACACTAATGGAAGAGTGGAAACTCATGGATAGAAAATAAACTCCAAGTAAGATGACATCATTTTCCACAATAGACAAACTCCATGACACCAGAATCAACATCACTCAGGTTTTCTTAAACACACAATTCTTTTCCCACTCTTCCCTTAATCCTTACAAAGGTTTCCTTTTCTTTCTTTTTTTTAACAAGTTTACCTGTGACTCGTAGAGCCCATGATGTAGTGTGGAAATTTGTCCTAATAAACTTGGTGCTCCAAAAGTCTCTCCCAAACCCAGTTGCTGGAACTGCAAACCCCAGAATTCCTGAGATGGGATCAAATGGGGGAGTTCCACCCTGGAGATGGCTGCTAGATGGACGGCAGACTCCATCTCCTTGGTTTCTGCTCTCCGCCCATCAATCAGTGGAACAGCTTGCCTCCCGAAGTTGTGGGGGCTCCAACACTGGAGGTTTTTAAGAAGAGATTGGACAACCATTTGCCTGAAATGGTGTTGGGTTTCCTGCTTGAGCAGGGGGTTGGACTGGAAGACCTCCAAGGTCCCTTCCAACTCTCTTGTTCTTTTATCTTATTGATATTCTGTTCAATATTTATGTGAAGCCGCTGGGGGAGATCATTCGTGGCTTTGGGGTGGATTTCCATCAGTACG